TACAATATAAAGCGCCTTGAGGCGACTGTTGTTGTGATTTGGCGCTGTGCAAATAAAACTGAATTTTCACAAAAACAGAGGGCTGAGATTAACAAACAGCAGAAAAACAAATGAAAACCAGCATTTAGGGAACTTCCTGACTTCAAGCATTTTCATACAATGCCAAGGATTTGTATCCAGTTACATTTAAAACAACATCGTTACTTTTGTTTCATTATGTCCCTTAAAAGATGGAGAAACCTACACTTCAAAGCTCTGACAATAACATGTTTGCATGTTATGACTGAGTATTGTAGGATCAGAGTGCCTATACATAATCTTTGCTTTTTCACTTGTCGTAAGCAGGTAGCACCAGTGTTATGTGCTGGAGTAAACTATCATGCAGCGACTACAGAAAACCTGTGAAATCAACAAGATGTCATGATGGCTTCTTCCAACTACGTCCTTGTTCTACTGCATGTCAACTTCCATTGAAACTGGTTGTGTGTCACCCTGCTCCACAGGTGGAACAAAGTCTCAGGTCAGTAAGTATTTGGCCAGTGACAGTTTTGTCATTTTGCCTGTGCACAGCATCACAGAAGGTTTGGAAACAAACATTCAGGATATGAATGACGTGCAGACAAAATAATGTTTATGTGTTTCTACACACATTACTAAGAAAACAATCATCTGAAATAATCCTATATAGATACAAGTGTATATTCAAAATAATGCAGCAATAATAAAATGCTGGACTTGGAACTTTGAAGAGACGCTGCTGACTCATCCAAAATAAAACATGAATGTGTATGAACCCTGAAGCATTAACATCCACGAGCCAGTGTGCATGTGTTCATAGTTTATTGCTGCTGAAGGAGAGAACTGCTTACTTACGCAGCGCTGGTGCTTAAGCTAAGCTCCCTGATGATTCTGGCTCAATAACTACACATGTTATACTGCGACACTGGAATTATGAACAGTTACATTTTAAAACATTTTAAAGTAAAACATTCAAACATTGCAATGCTGCCAGTAAAAAGCATATTTTAAGAACCAAAATGAATTCCTGTTTCTAACCACTCACATTTGTAGGATTCGTCAGATTCAGAGTTTAACCTGATAAAACACTTAAGGATCACATGACGCATTCAGCAAGCCAATCACACAGTCACAGGCGATGAGCTTATCTAGAGGCTGTAAAACATTTAAAATGAGTTCTTTTCTCAGGACTGCTTAATGGAAAATGTATCTAGTATTTGTGTAATGCTTTAATAAATATACACATTTAATCTCGATGTTAGCGCACACAGTGTCTGATATGCAGATTAGTGTGTATAGAAGCTGGCAGTGGGACACTTGTTATCTATGCATGAACACACAGCCCTGTTTGCAGGAACAGCCAGTTATCTGACTGAAACGTTCAAAGGCTAATTAAGACAAACTTTGAACTCTTGCTGGACGAACAGTTAAACTGTGTCCAACCAAGACCTGCAACACCAGGGTATCAATAACTCTAAAGGGCAGAAATATATGTTTTAATATCAGAACATCAGAAGACCTCATGTGTAGTTTGTTAACACCCTGATACATGAATCTAAGAATGCTGCAGCTGTAGTGCAGCAGCCATATCCATCTTTCCATTTCATATTTCACCAAGGCCACATGTGCCAGTGGGCACAGACCTGAGGTCAGAGGTCAGAGTGGGGAAGTCAGACATCTGTTGATTTGCTCAGTTTCTTTTCACTGGAAAACAAAGCACACAAACACGATTTATAGAGTAAGATCAGAAGAAAGTCCACAGTAACCTGCTCACATGCTGAAAGATGTCAGAACAGCTAAAGTACAAGACACTTCTATGGATTCACAC